CCTCAGGCTCAGGCTCCTCGGGACATTCTTCAACCACTTTCTTTCACCTCAACCCCGCTGGCTACTTCCTCTGATTTGCATGTGGGGAGAAAACGCCCACCCGGCCATCCAAGGCATTTGAGTGTGAGTGCACAGAAACAGCAGAGGGTAGGTTAACCACCCAACAGACAACTGAAAATGCAAACTTGGACATCCCATGTCTTCAATGTTCTACCTCCAGCCCCACCAAAAGCTACAAAATTATGTTTAGGGCCTCTGTCAGTTTTCAGAGGAGGTTCTTTCTTCTTCCATCCTCCCCAGCATCCCCAGTCTCCTCAGCCTGGGGAAAAGGTAGTTTTGTTCTTCCAGTAACATTCTTTCACTTACTTCTTGCCAGTCCTATGATGTAGGTGCTTTTATTCAGCCCATATTCAAGATGAGGAGGCTCTGCCTGGAAGGTTCAATCACTTGCCCAAGGCCACAAAACCAGTGAGCAGAGGGGGCGACGGCAGAGTGTGCCCTCAGCCCCGCAGCAGCAATGCCTGTGCCCACCACATGCCCCCCTGCCTTCTGCCCCCACAGCACCATTTTGGGGCCCAGTTTACAGAGCCGACTCCAGGGCTGGTCTCACAAGGCTTTGGGTCCAGTACTGTTTTCTGCCGAGCACTGCTTGCTCCTGGGGAATGCCGATGGAGAAGATGGAAGCGCGTGTTTTGTTGTTGAAAGAGTCTTAGGGGTTTCCATGTGACCAACTCTAGAAAGCACCAGGAGCCATCTCTGAGGAGGGTCATGTGCTGGGTGTCTCACAGTTGCGGGTGTCACTGCGCACTGAGTGACAGCCACCCCAGCGTAAGCTGGCACCCCCCGGGACTCACAGCCATTTTTTTATGTATTCATAGAAAAGTATGATGGATTCAGAAAGAAAAGTTTCCCAATTCCAGGGTTTAGTATTTCTGAGAGATGTCAAAAGCATGGGTCAGTTAGAAGGGTCCGTGGTGTCCCTTGTGCTGGGCATGTTTATCTGAAAGGGGTTCATTGTGGGATCTTTGTCCTGGGCCTGCTGGCTGCACCTCTGGAGGCCCCAACAAAAGACAGAAGCAGCAGCTTTCATTTCCCTCCCCAAGAACGTCCTTCCTGCCCATGAGGAACATCATTTTGTGCCTGAGGATGCCACTGCTGTGTCATCTTCCAAGTCCTGTTCTTCTAGCTTAGACTGTGGTTGTAGCCACCTGGGGAGGGGGGCGCTGACTGCAGGCTGTCCTCCTCCAGCCTGTCCAGATTCTGGCAGGCACCAGTCTGAAGCCTTGGCTGATCCCAGCCCCAATGGGAGAAAAATATTACATTCCTGCCCCACGCCTGCTCTGCCCTGCAGCGATCTCTGCTGGGGCCTCACGGAAGACCTGACCATCAGGGGCCGCTTCTGCTCAACCCCACTGCCACATCTTTGCTTATGCTTGGAATTCCTGCCTCTCTCTGCCATCAAAGTCCTACCCACCCTTCAAGGCCTGGTTCATGTGGTCCCTTCGACTCCCAGAAAGTGTTCCCAGTGTGTCCCGAGTCCTTCTCTGGACTGGTGACTCAGGACCTGGCTTCTCCATATCTCATGGGGTGAGGGCTCCCTACATTCAGGCAGCTTCCTATGTGGCTCCTCAGATACTCACATGCAATCCCAGGGTCCCCAGCAGGTGGGTAAACCAGTCTCTAGGTCAGCCTCATGACCTGTACACGGTCAGATGCCCCTTACCCGGAGTGTACAGGTCTCACTGGGCAAGGGCCCCATGTGGGGCTGCCCACCACACTACCACTCTTAGCATGCCAGGCAAGCCGGTCCCTGCTGGGCTCAGTTCTCCCACCAAGGGGTAGAATGGCATGGTGGGCAATGAAATAGGAGAAATTGGTTTGGATCCTGGCAAATAGCAGGTGTCCAACGCACCCCTGGCTATGGGAACTAATAAATGAAGCAGCAAGAGCTGCTGCCTGAGTAAGAGAGTCCGCTCCGGAAGTGTGTGCCTGGTTGACCTAGAAGTCTCATTTGTTCGTTCATTTGTTCATTCGTTTGTTCATTCATTCAACAAATAATTATCTGTGCCTACTAGATGCCAGGCCTTGTGCTAGAGGCTGGATCAAGACACGAACAGACAAAACTGCCCCCAGGGAGCTTACGTCCTAGTAGAAGAGGTAGATTATGGTAATATGAGCAGGATAAACAAGACAGGTTGGATTGTGATCAGCTCTATGGAGAAAAGAAAGCAGGAAAGAGAGATGGGTGGAAGGAGTTTCCCTTGTAAATTCAGTGATCAGGGAAGACTTCCTGTGCTACAGAGAGCTAGCGAGCAACCGGGGATTATTCAGATACCCATCGTCTGCTGTGGACCAGGCATCAAGCTGGGGTGAGGGTGGCACACAGGCGCAGAGAGGAATCCAACGGACCTGCAGGGCCAGGCACACCCAGGCACAGCGGTCTCCCATGCAGGTCAGAGCAAAGCCAGTGCCATGGAACCTCACGGGAGACTGGGGCTGGCTGAGGAGGTGTGGGAGAGGGGCTTCCAGAGGAAGAGGTATCCAAGGACCTCTACACTCACCACTGTAAGGCTAGGAAGGTGGGGACATGGTCGAGGATGTTGGGTGATACTGACTTAGGTGCATCCTCTAAAGGAGTTGGAAGCTGTTTATGGCCCTTTGCAGAAGCCAGTGCCAATTTGGGGATGGATAACATGTCCATATGAACCAACTGCAGCCAGATGGACCTAAGACTTGCACTTTGTGGGGCTGGAGATCTGGGAGGCTTCCTGGAAGAAGTGGCCTTAGAGCTGGGCCAGGCAGCAGAGATGATGTTGCTAAACAGAAATGCAGAGGTGGCCTTTGCCACGTAGCCCAATGCCCTGAGCTCAGCACTGTCAAGAAGTGCCTCTGACAGGGCAGCTCCAGGGGTGCCTGGAGCCCTGGGGGGAGGGTGCTGTCCCTGTCCTCCAGGCTGCGCTGTCTCCCTGCTCCCCCACCAGCCCCAGAGAAGGAGGAGGCTCCGTGGCGCTGATGGATATGCCGGGCCGGGCGGCTGCGGCCCACTGTCACCAGGCTCTCCTTCTGCATGCCGGAACCTGACACCCTGACCACTGAGGCATAAAAAACAGAGAATTGGAAGACTCAGCCTGTCAGGCTGGGAGTGGCCCCCAGAGAGGCCCGAGGAGGAGTGTGTGTGTGTGTGTGTGTGTGTGTGTGTGTGTGTGTGTGTACATGCTCTGCCAGTGGTTGCGAGGTACGGGGGAGGCCAGCTAGACCTGGGGGAAGGAGCCGCTGGTCCCTCAGTCCTGCCTCATTATTCCTGCCCTACCTGGCAGAGCCCCAGGGGCCCACCCCTGGGCTTGGGTTGCAGGGGAGAGAGCAGGCTCTTGGTCTCAGGTTCTGGCTGGCCCCTTCTGGAGTCTCTCACCCTTCAGCCCTTTGTAGATATCCTTGTGGGGAATTGTGGAGGTGGCTTGGGCTTCAGGTGGGCTCATGGGGCTGTGTAACTCCTGTCACCTCCAGCAGGGAAGGGCCCCCCTGCTCTGTACCCAGTAGCAGCCAGCTTTCCATACCCCTTTCCAGGGCCTCTACTGAACACACTCTTCTGGGCACTGGGCACCTGGCGATAAGTCCAGGCTGAAGCCTCCTCTCTGGGAGCCACTAGCCATGGGTGAAGACAGGCAGGCCCTGCTGGCAACAAGACAACAGAATTGTGAACTCTCCTCCTGGTGACCTAGTCAATGGTAAAGAGGCTCTCCTGGGACTGGCAGCCAGAGCCCAGGGAAGTGCCAGAGGTGGGCATCACTGCCCCATGATCACCAGGGAAGGGCCAGAGGCGGGCATCACTGACCCATGATCACCAGAGAAGGGACAGAGGCGGGCATCACTGCCCCGTGATCGCCAGAGGTGGGCATCACTGCCCCATGATCAGGGAAGGGCCAGAGGCAGGCATCACTACCCCATGATCACCAGGGAAGGGCCAGAGGCAGGCATCGCTGCCCCATGATCACCAGGGAAGTACCAGAGGTGGGCGTCACTGCCCCATGATCACCAGGGAAGGGCCAGAGGCAGGCATCACTGCCCCATGATCACCAGGGAAGGGCCAGAGGCGGGCATCACTGCCCCATGATCACCAGGGAAGTGCCAGAGGTGGGCGTCACTGCCCCATGATCACCAGGGAAGTGCCAGAGGCGGGCATCACTGCTCCCTGAACACCTGGGCCAGGGTCAACCATGCCCAGATCCCACCATGCCACACACTGTGCTCTTCCCACCCTGGCATACTTCACAGCTCCTGCCCAAGCACACCCACAGCTGCCAACAGCTGCCCCCTCCCCAGTACCCAGAAGGCCCCAAACACTGCCTGTTCTGTGATCCCCTAGCCCTTTGTCTTGTCCTTCATTTCAGCACAGTTCTGTCGGCCTCCTCCAGGCAGAGAGCCTGGGTTTATTTCTCATCTCCCTGATGAGACTGAGGCCCCAGGGACAGCCAGCTCTGCCTTCACAGCCCAGAGGGCCAGACTAGGGTTGACGTTACCTTTGGTTTCTCTGCCAAGAGCCACTCAGGGAGCAGGTGGGGAGTAGAACTTAGTCCATCCTGGGATCCTGGAGTGGCTTCAGTCAGGGATGAGAACCAAGCAGTCTGCAGCCTTGAACTTGGCAAGGTGCATCAAGACCACTTTGTCAGACACCCTGAGCATCAGCCTTCTCATGTATAAAAAAAAGGCCCCAAGAAACACCTGGCACCTGGGGCTATGAAGTGACATAGGAGTTCCGCGATACACATGTGAGAGTCTGCTGTCCATTCCCACTGATAAGGAGGGGAAAGACAGTCAATGCCAGTGACGGCTGCCTACTCATTAAGGATGTGGACTTGACCTGCGTTTGTTGGTTACAAAAGCGCCTGCAGCTCACAGAAGAGGCAAATGCCATTGGCAACCAGGCTGGCTGGGACCCAGGGCCTTTTCTGAACTGGATTTGACATTTGGTTCCTGTTTCTCTCTCCACCCACCAAACACAGGGAGTGAGTTTTCCGGGAGTCCCTACAGCCACCCTCAGTATTCCTCGTACAACGATTCCTGGAGGTTCCCCAACCCGGGGCTGCTTGGTGAGTACTGGCGGAGGCCCTGTGGGTCCCCTGGGCCGTCGGCTACCCCATCCAGGCCTCCTCATTGGGCTTGGGTCCCTTGATATCCTGAGGTCTGGTCACTGAGGTGGAGTGGGTAGTTTGAAGTATAGGTATTTCCATGGGGGCCTTAGGGCAGTAAACACTGCTCCAGCCCTGCCCATGCCCTCCTCCCTCCCAAGATGTTTTGGTGGGTCAGGGAAAATGGTGCAGAAGGAAACAGAGGGAAAAAAGGGCATTGGAGGAGAAAGACAAAGGTAGGAAAAGTGCCTACCTGTGAGTAACTTGTATTTCTTAAGAATCATGAGATATTCAGGTGAGGACTCTCTAAATAAGTGTTAGTAAAGATACCAACTTGAATTGATTGGTAGTGGCTGCCTGGAGACCATCTTGACAAAGACCCTGATTCCCAGTGATTGATTAGTGATGTCTGCATGGACATCACCAGAGCCAGCTCCATTGGAACCTGGTTGCCTGCAGCTGGAGATCTGACAAGGCATGCCATTTAGGGCTCAGGAAGTGCCCACCCTCTGCCCATGCCTCAGATTGGCAGATTGTCCGTGACTGGTGCCAGCCTGATCTCTGAACATTATGAAGATATCTGGGCCACTGCAAAGACCATGCAGAGCTAACTCAGCCCTCAAAAAGCCAAGAGGAACCTTCTGCTTTGTTGGCATGACATTACGTGAAACCAGCTAGTAAGTGCCAGTGGGAGCTAAAGGTTCTGGGACATGAAGCAGAGGTGTGGGCCCAAAGATTGTCACTCACCATCTGGGAGGTGGAGCCAGCCAATCAGCCTGCCGGCAGCAACATGGAACCCTCCCTCAGCAGTCAGCTAAGAATTTTCCACTTAGAGCAGTAAAAGGTCAGACACGGAAGGACCCTCTGAGACCACCCAGGTTTATCTGTCCAGCTTAACAAGGCCTCCTTAAGGAAGAACGTTTTAATTCCCTGGATCCTTAATTATTTAGGACTGAGAAACATAGGCTTCATCAGAAAAGCCATAACCTGGTATCTTCAAACTCAAGTTGCCAAGCCATAGGCCTGTGAAAGAGGCCATGTAATCTCAGCCTTGACCTCTTCCTAAACCTGATTTGGTGGTTAGGACAGACACATAGTATAGAAACCACTTCTCTCTTGCTACTACCATTCCGTGCATTTGGGGCCTTGGGCTGTCCAAAGCATCTTGGTGTGTCATGTGTAACTTGGGGATTAAATAAGAAACAATGCCCGTTAGTGCCCACGTCCCTGTGCAGGGAGATTTCATGCCTTGCAGAAGACTCCTAGGTTCTTATTATCTGCGGTCTCCCAGAAGGGCAGAATCGGCAGATTGATCTCTTCTCAGACTCCTTTTTTGGTTTTGGTCAAAATCATTTCTAAGTATCGAACCAGGATATCCACTTACCTAATGTTTTTTCTTAAGTGGACTCTTCGAGTTGACCCAGATGTCTGTCTCAGGAAACAGGAGACATGGGCTGGCTGTGGGCTCCCTGAACCAGTGTCTTCTAGCAGGGGTGGGGGAAGGGAAATGGGTCTTGAGGCCCAAACCTGGGAGTCCTTCCCAGGAAATCTGCCTCAGGCAAAGCCCTGATCCCAGTCCTGCTGGGAGACCCCAGGGGATATGACACAAAGGAGACCTGGACATTGGCCTGTGGGAAAGGTTCCTTCTGATGGAGAGGTGACCCCAAGAAGGCCATGCTGGCCCAGGGCTGCCACACATGACTGTGCACTGCCCAAGGGGACAAGTGGAAACTGAACCCCAGCCCATGCATGGCACAAAGCCCTGAGCCCTGGCATGGGGCTGCATCTGCTCAAAGGGACACTTTTTCTCATTTTACAAGGTGTCCTAGAGGTTGACAGTGGTCTCATTTATTTGCCTGGGTTTTTAAGAAGCAGAGAAACTGGAAGAAATGGTGCAGGCATTTGTGGCAAAGGCTTGGTGTAGGAGGTGGGGCAATCTGTGCAGTGCGCACAGAGCGGGGCCCTTGAAGGCCAGGCTGGGGAGTCTGGACCTAACTGTGTAGGCAGAAAGATGTGTGAGGGGATGAGGCAGGGAGGGAAGGAGCGGGATCAGACCGCATCGAGGCTTTTGCTGCTCAAGCTGGAGTGAATCTAGTTCACAGCTCCGATTGTTAGGCCTGGGCTGTGTGCCTGTGTGGAAAAGATGCATGCTCTGTCCCAGGGAGCTCACAGGCTGCGGGTGGGAGCCTCCGGCAGGGGTGTCTGTGCTGGGAGGTGCTCAGTACCTTTAGGTGGCCAGAGACAGTGTGGAGAGGAGGAAGAGGAAGCAAAACTCCATGCATCTACATAAGCACTTGCTAATTGTACCAGGCACCCAAAACTCTCTTCATGTGGGTTATCTGGTTTCATTCTCTCAGCAACCGTACAGAGCACATATTATTATCTCTCTTATATGGAAGAAGACAGTGAGGCTCAGAAAGGTGAACTAATTCACCTGAGATCACACAGCATTCAGGTGGCAGAAGGAGGACTTAAATTCAGGTCACCTTGATGCCAGATTCTATTTTTGGAACCGGTATGTGATGTGGTACTCTACTCTCCCTGACTGATGTGCACTTTGAACACCGACGCCAGGAAAAGAGGACTCACCCCTCTGTAGAAACAGGCCTTGGGGGTCCTGAATAGCCAGACCTATGTGTGAGTGATGAGAATGGCTCTGGTATGGCTTTGAAGGCAGGTTACTGTCTGTATCTGTCAGACTTTCAGTTGCAAACAACAGAATCCACTCTGACCAGCTTAACCAGAAAATGAATTTATTAAGGGATATTTGGGACTCCTAGAATCTCCAGGAGGACCAAAAAGAGGTAGGCGTGGGACACAGCCAGGACAACACCCACCACACAGTCAGAGCTGCAATCAGCAGCCCTGCTGCTAGCCAGCACCCAGCCTGCAGCTCTCCTCCACTGTAAGCTTACCCAGGGTGCTCGGGACCAGGCCCCAGAAGCTCTGCCCTGCGCCCAGCCAAAGCTGGATGCCTTTGCCACCCATTTCCAACAGGTGGAGTCCCCCAGGCCACTGCTTCAAGTGACTCCCTTCTCAATCAAGGTCATATACAAGAAAGTCTAATTAGCAGAGACCACATAACACACCTGTGCCCTAGTAGCAAGGGAAACTGGGAAGATGAGTTCTGACTTCTGGCTCAAAGAGGCAGGCCTCCTGCTGCAGTATCTGTACAAACACAGGAAAAGCGCAAATGATATTGGGCTGCAACAGACATGAGAAATGGTCCCTGCGCTGCCCAAGTCTATAACCTGGAGGAGCCTAGTCAGGGCTGGGCCTCAGTTGCCTTGGGTGTAAACTGAGGATAGTGGTCCCTGCAGCCTCATTCCAACAGGAGCTGCATGCGTGCCCTCTTGCGATGCGCAGGGCAGTGGAAATGTGATCCCACTTTCTTGAAGATGGATGAGATTGCTGGCTCCCCAACCCACAGCCTTGCAAATAGCTCCAGGCCTGTCACCTCTCCCTTCCCGCCCTGCCCCATGGTGTCTTCAGCATGGCCTGAGGGAATGACCCAGGGCAGGGAGACCTAGAAGGGTTATTCGTGCCATCTAGGGAGGGCGCCAGTATATGGAAACCTGTCCTGAGGCCCCTTCGTGCTCCTGCTAGACTGGTGGGCTTTGTGGAACAGGTGAGACCCTATACACACACACACACACACACACACACACGCTCACACATGGTCACACAGGTGCACACACACGTGTACACTCACACGCTCACACATATGCACACACATGCACACACGCACACTCACACACGCACATGCACGCACACACAGACACACACTCACATCCCCACTCCCACTCTCACACACCCGCGAACGTGACACCAACACCTTGGCCAGCCTGGCTGAAGCCTCCTTCACGGGAACGGCCGAGGCGAGGATCGGCGACGCCATGGGATGCAGTGGAAGGACTGGGGCACTTTGACTTTGAGGGAATGTCCTGCAGCCAGGGCAGCTGTGACTCAGCATTGTAAGGGGCAGCAGGCTGGAAAGGGGGCTGCAGTCGGTCCCGGCAGGAAGAAAGGCCAGCCGTGGTCAATTAGGATTAGAATGGGAGCGCCTGTGGCCGCTGTAAAGGGATTAGAGAGAAAGCAGAGCCCGGAATGACTGTGTCAAGCAGTAAATTGATGATAATGTGAATTAGAGAGGAAAAATGACAGAAGAAAGGACAAGTTTATTCTACATGGAGGTCTAATGGGCACCAGGAAGACAGAGTGCTTTGTGAGGTGATGTTTTCATTTTTCACGGTAAATGCGAGCTCTCACACCGAGGCCCGCTGGAGGGTCTGGCCTGGCTCTAGGAGGGAGTGGATCAGCACCCAGGGTGAGAGGTGGCCGGGGTGGGGGATTGTAGGGTGGAGCCAGGGATCCTCCAAGGAGAAGCCTCTACTTCCATTTCCTGTCCCTTTGGGGTGTGTGTAGGCAGCCCCTGGGATTGCCCTGCCTTCATGCCATGCCCTCTCGTGCACACGTGCCCGCCTTCCCTGGGCTTGCTTGCAGGCAGGACAAAGACAGGCTCTGCAGACATTCCACGGGTGGCTGTCCCCATCCCACAGAAGAGAGAACAGAGGAAGGCTGGCAGGGTTTCTGAGCTGGGACTGCAGCCAGTGAGGTGACAGAAGAGGCGGCAGAAAAAACCCATCTCAGGGAATACTTAGCCATGGGGCTGGTGTCCTTGCCATCTGGAAACGTACAGCGAGGCACCGGCTCCTCCACTGCCATCTTGCCTCCCTGGGGGGATTGAGGGCTGCTGGGAGAGGGAGCAATACATCAGCTCATCAGGGTTGAATGGGGAGGGGAGGCAGTGCATGTCGAAGTATAACCTGAATCCCACCCTCTTGATTACATATTAGCTGTGTGACCTTGGGCAAGTTATTTCACCTCTCTATGCCTCAGTCCTCTCATTTGTAAAATGGGAACAATAATCATTCCTACCTGATTGGAAACTAAAAGAGTTAGGTGATATAAACTTTGTAGAAAAGGAACCATCTTCACGGCTCCTTCATGACCTTATCTCGTGGTGTACATGCAGCCGCCCCCTTTTCACCCCCTTACAGGTGAAAACACTGAGGCCCAGGGCGTGACGTCACTTTTTCAAGGTCTGCTAGCCAAGAAGTGGTAGAGTGTGCCTGGCAGACTCCAGGACTCAGTTATGGCACAGGTTGACTGCCCCTAATCCAAAATGCTTGGGACCAGAAGCATGTCGGATTTTTCCAGATTTTGAAACATTTGCATTATTCCAGAGATCCCAAATCAGAAAATCTGAAATTCAAACGCTCCAGTGAGCATTTCCCTTGAGTGTCCTTTCAGTGCTCAGAAAGTTTTCGCTTTTGGAGCATTTCAGATTTCGGATGTTTGGAGGTGGGCTGCACAGCCTGTCTCTGGGAGACGTGCCAGGACTTGGCTTGGAACTGGGTGAGAGTGCAGAATAAGTGTGAGTCACCTCACGTGGGGGGCGGAGACGCTTTCGAGTCATATCCCAGCAGGCGTGTAGTCAGTGACAGGCTGGGGGAGCCCCAGCTGCTCGCTTGCATAAGCCTGTTTCTGTATAGATGCATGGGCCTCCCTCTGTACTGTAGTGGAAAGAGTCCTGAGCTGGGGCAGACAACCTAGATCCCGGCCAGGCCCGGTGCTGAGAGGCTCCGTGACTTTGGGCTTGGACTTGCTAAACCTTAGTTCTCCCGCCTGTAAAAGGAGGAGATTGGCCTAGAGCCTCAGTCTGTGGTTCTGAGAATCTGCTGGTGGTGGCCCTGGGCCTTCCCAGGTCCCCTCATCCCTGAGAGGGAGCCTTAGCACAGAGCAGGGCTCCTGGAGGCCTCAGCCAAAGGGTGCAGTCAAAAAAAGCAGCCAGACGCAATGCAAGGAGCCCAGCGTCTGCCAGAGGGCCCTCACTCTGCTTTCCTGAGGCCACAAAAGGGGCCTGCATCCCATCCTCTCTCACACACATTCCCCAGAGTCCCCATGTCCTCTAAGCCCCACTTCCTCCAGAAAACCAATTTGCTAGAACCATCTTACACTCTCCAGAGCTTCTTTCTGAGCCTGGATCCCCCTCTTGCTTTGAATATCAACCTGTGTCAGGCTGGCGTTTGCCCCATTATTGCCCAGCCCTGCCCCCAGCAGGGTCAGGAAATGAGTGGTGAATGAATGAGTGAATGAATGAATGGGCAGGGGGTTGTCTTCACTATTGTTTTCTCACTCAGCAAAGTTGATTCATTACACCTTCAATCTAGCTGAGCACGTGCCACATACAGCTCCAGGCTGGAACAGGGGACAGACTCCCAAGAAGAGCAGAACCCAGCTCCTGCCTTTTGGGACCTCTCCGTACAGGGATAGGGGAAGTGCAGAAAGAAATAATCATAGCAAAGGGATAGCCTACAGGGGAGTGTGAGCTCAGGGCAGGGGGCTTCCCGGAGGAGGAGACAGGGCTCTGAAATTTGAAAGAGGCACAGAAGTTTAACAGATGGGAAAAGGGGTGAGGGCACAGGCCAAGAGTTCCAGGCTGGAAGCAAATTGTGGGGAAAGGCACCAAGGCAGGAGAGTATGCTAGCACGAGCTAACTGTGCCTACCCCATAGGATTAAATGAGATAATACATGCACAGGCCCTAGCAGGGCCAGGCCCAGAGGATGTGCTCATCTGTCAGCATTATGTGTATCTGAGACCGCTGCAAAGAGTCTTGCTCAGCTTAAGCGTGATATATGAGTGTGAGCAGGAGGGGCTTTCCCTGAGGGAAATGAATCTAGAGAGGTTGGCTGGGGCTAGATCACAGAGCACCTGCAGGCCAAACAAAGGGAATGCTTTTCATGGGTTTATCTTCTAGGTCAGGGGTTGGCAAATGATTTCTGTAAAGACCCAGAGAGTAAATATTTTAGGGTTTGCAGGCCATAGTGTCTCTGTTGCAACTACCCAACTCTGCCATAATAGCGGGAAAGCAGTGATGGGCAATGCCTAAATGCACAGGCAAGACTGTGTTCCAGGAAAATGTGACGGGGAGCTGGGAGGATCGGACCCAAGGGCCCAGGCTCCGACCCCAGCTCTAGATGGGGAGGAGCCTCAAATAGCAGGTTGTGGCCCTGATGAGACTTGTCATTTGGGGAACAGACTGTGACAGAGATATTGGTGAGAGGGGATGGTGGCCTGGACTGGGTGAGGGGAAGAAAGGACAGGAGTGGAGGAGACTGGTGGAAAGGGGACCCCAGATCTGACCTCAGTGCTGTCTCCCGTCTCTTCCAGGCTCCCCCTACTATTACAGTGCTGCCGCCCGAGGAGCTGCCCCACCTGCAGCCGCCACTGCCTATGACCGTCACTGACCCTTGGAGCCAGGCGGGCACCAAATACTGATGGCACATATCATTGAGGGTGACAGCTGCCCGGCCCTCCTGAAGCTAGCCAGAGGAACGCATGAGACTGTCCCTCAGCACCCCCACTTGCCTGAAGCTCCCCACTTCCCCTCTTCCTCCAGGGACTCTGGGGCTCTATGGTGGGGCCGTTGGAATTCTGGATGCTTGTCCATTTCTAAAAGCCAGTCTATGAGATTCTCCCAGTGGCCATTGGGTCTCTGCAAACCAACAGACTGTTCTGCAAATGACCGCAGCCCCAGCCCAGCCTGCCAGTGCCCCAGCTGTCTGACTATCCATCCATCATAACCACCCCAGGCCTGGGAAGGAGAGCTTGCTTTTGTTGCTTCCGCAGCACCCATGTAAATACCTTCTTGCTTTTCTGTGGGCCTGAAGGTCCAACTGAGAAGACCACTCCACCCATGATGCATCTTGCACTCTTGGTGTGTCACCAGACAGCTTAGACCTGTGGCAGAGCATCCTCTCTGCCCTGGGCGACCCTGGCAGGTGAGCTCGTAGCTGTCCTTGAGACGGAGGATGCCCCCCTTGGGCCCCAGCTTCCTGCTCATCCCTCCTTCTTTAATATAGTCATGAGGAGTCTCACTGGCTGGTTGTGCTGCAGGCTCCTTCGGAGGCCCCTCTCCAAGAGAAGCACACTTTGGGGAGATGTCCTGGCTTCCTGCCTCCATTTCTCTGGGACCAATGCAGTACAAGCAGCTCTTTTCCAGATCAAAGAACTCAAAGAAAACTGTCTGGGAGATTCCTCAGCTACTGTTCTGAAGCAGAATGTCATCTGAGGTATTGATTCCATTGTGGACTTCGAATGTGAGGGCTGGATGGGATGTGGGAGACCATCTGATCCCAGCCAAGGAGGGGCCTGAGGCTCTCCCCACTCCCTCAGCCCCGGAACTATGCTTTCTGAGGCAAGCCCAGGTTCAGGTCACTTTGGACACCTGCCATGGACACTTCACGCACCCTCCAGGACCCCAGCAAGTGGATTCTGGGCAAGTCTATTCCAGTGATATAGACAACGATTAACACAGAGGACTTTCCCCTGCACCCAGATCACAAACAGCCTACATCCAGGACTTCTGAATGTGCTTTCGGAGCAGACCCTTCCGTCTTCGCAGAGTTTAGCAGGCAGCTGGGCATGGAGGCTGAGGCAGATGCCTAATTTCGCACAATGCATGCCCACCTGTTGATCTAAGGGGCTGCAAGGGTCAGGGCTATGGCCAAGGGCCACAGGAACTCAGAGAGGAGGCTTGGAGAACTCAAGGTGGGCTAGGGTGGTCAGAGGAAGCCAGCTAGGAAGATGTAGGGGACAGAGGAAGGCCTCCTGGAGGAGGGGCAGGAGAGCAGTGAGGACTTGCTGTGTGTCCTGGGAGTGATTTTGAAATGGAGGTGCCAGGTGCCACCATCTCTTTACCTGGGGTCTCAGTTCCTTGCATAGTCTCTCTTGTCAACTCAGAACAGCCAGGTAGAGCCCTTGTCCAAACCTGGGCTGAATTACAGTGATGAGACAGGACTTGATTTTCTTATGCAGCAGTGTCCCCCATGTCTGCATGTCACCAAGATGGCAGAGAGCCAGGGCAGAGAGAGCTGGACTTGGGATCAGCAGCCCAGGCAGGTTTTGTCCTGGCCACAGGTCTTTGCTGTGGGACCTCAGACAAAACCCTGCACCTCTCTGAGCCTTGGCTGCCTCAGTGCAGCAGGGTCACCTGTAGGGCCACCCCACAGCTCTCTCCTCCCCCTCCTCTCTCAAAGGAGCTGGGGCTGTGACAGGATCATCTGAGCCAGGCTCTCCACTTTCAAGCAAGCAAGCAAAGGGAGGTAGGAACCTGAGTCCCGCTAATGTTTGGACCAAGTGGGAAACAAGAACACCTGGAGGGGCGGGAATCAGAAGATCCTGGAAAAAAGACCTTCCCTTGTGGGAAACTGAGGGCCAGCTTGGGGAAGGCCAGGACCATGCAGGGAGACAGAACAGACTTCCTCTGGCCACTGCTAAGTAGTTTGTTCCCCAAACCCCTTGCTGGGTGGTGGAACAGAAGAGAAACTAAGGCTCAGCAAGGTGGAGTCCCCAAGCAGTGACTGGTGGGGGCGGGGCCGGGACTCAGGCTCCTGACTCCTAATCCATGGTGTTCCCAGTCACGCTGGTCTATCCACACCTCCTATTCCTGGGGAGAGTTGAGGGTAAGAGCAGTGAGAGAGGGTTCTGGGCCCCATGCCCTAGACACTCAGTCTTTAAGAACTGCCAAGGAAGCCCGATCACCCAGCCCAGAGATGGAGCCCAGTGGGCTCAAAGCAGGCACAGCCACCACCACCCCCTCCCCAAGAAGGGCAAAGAAGGGAGGTAGCTGGGGCCAGAGCCCACCTCCAGGAGCCACGGTGAGCTGGCTGCAGCCTCCACCTGTCAGGTAAGGTAGGAGAAGGTATGTTACCTGGCACCTCCCTCCCTGTCTCCCTCCATTTAGCAGGAGGTGGTAGAGTCAGAGGTCTTCAGCACAGGCATCTTGGGGCTCTGCCCCCTGCCACCCCTCTCTTGGAATGACGTGTGTCCACATCTTCAGATCCTGCCCTCCTTGTGGTTCTAGGCTGCTGGGAGGAGGTCAGCCTCCCCTGAACCAGCTGCCTGATGCACACAGCATCCTTCCTCAGCAAAGCCCACCTAGCCTATGGTGGTCCCCTCTCCCCATCCTGTTCCTTTTGTTGCCCTGTAATGAGCTCCCCCATACCTTTCCTCTCTCACCTGAGGCTTTGCTGGTCCTCAGATTGGTTTTGTATTTGTGAGACAACCACTTGGTTCCTGGGCTGCCAGGCAGAAGCACAAGCGCACACGGATGCACACGGATGTTCTCACACATGCACGCCCGCTCTCACCAGTTCACAGCTCCCTTGAGGTCCGGCGAGCTGCCCGGGAGCTTGGTGAGGATGGCTCCAAAGGACATAAGCCGTTGAGTAGATGCCAGAGAATTCTGAATGGAAAACACAAGTTCAGGGCCTCACCAGCAGTGTGGCAGAAGGCCTGGGGCATTTCTCCATGGGCCTTCTGCCCTGTGTTCCAGCCCTGACTTTTGGAAAATGACATTGTGGATTTTATGAAAATTTTTCATACCATTAGACTAGCTTCAACCTAGAACAATTTGATGATATATCAAACCCAACATCCCTTTCCCAGGCACCTTAGTTAGGGTTAGCCCTTCCGTAACTGACATTGTACGGTGCTTTGCAATCCTCGACCACCCTGTAGGGCAAAGAGCATGATGCCTACTTTATAGACAGGGAAATTGGCATTTGGGGCTCACATGGCAAGATGGAGGTGAAGTGAATTCTCAGATCTCCAGGCCCCATTCTCTCTCCATGGAGTTGTGCTCCTGTCATGGGAGTGTATGGTTTAAAGACACACCCCCATTCCCTAGAAACACCCCAGACCCACAATAAGGCAAGAAAGAACAGGGACCCAGAGGCTGGCCTGACCTAGGGGCCTGGAGGTTGGTGGCTTTGCTTCCTATGAACATAGAAACCTGCAGAGTCTTTGACCAAATCCACACCAGTGCTTCTGAGGTTTCATCCAGACTCTTTCCCAGCTGTCCCTGAGGCTCGGTGGGGATCAGAGCCAGTTCAAGGCCACACCATAATTTCTGGACATGGATCCAGCCTAGACACAGGTCCAGCCCTGACCAGGCGTCCAGGTGCTAGGGTCATGTTCCGCCTCCTCACTTCCCTTTCTTTGCCTTCCCACTTTGGAACAGGCTCCAGGCCTGGCTGTGACAGTATGTGGGAGTACCCAAGCCAGGGCCATCGGGTGTCCACAGCCCCTGGAAACACAGATCACAATCTCAAGTCCCCTGAATGAACTGCTTCCTGGGTGAATGTGGTGGGGTAAACTTGCCACTCAGGCAGGGCACCAGGCAGTATGGTGCAGCGGTGCCCGAGATGCCCAGAAGTGTGCCTGCCTCCCTGAGTGGCATTCAAGTATGAAAATCTGTCAAATGTTATCTCGGCCTAAAGAAAAATGTCCATGGGTCTAATTGGACCCACTGGCCACCAGCCTGTGAGCCCCAGTGCCTGTCAGGTCCCCCTTTCTTATTTACCTCCTGTCCTTTGTTACAGATTTGAAGGAGATGGGAGCCCACAGAGGTGAGAGATGTGCTTCAGGGTGTCCAGCAAGGCACGCCCAGAGCCTGCCGATCTCCCAGGCCTCATCCCAGGCTCTTGTAAACCTTGTGCTTCAAAGGTGGAGTTGGGTGGAAGGTCAGAGGCACTTGGGATGGGAGACGGGGGAGCTGCTGGGTTTTCGGGGGGGGGACAGTGCTGCCTGGACACCTTTCACATGTGCAGGGAAGAGCCTCAGATGTGGCCACAGTGCACTGAGGGGTGAAATCCCTTCACCAGAAGTCACACCCCAGAACGACTGCCCTGCCTTGGCAGCCAGTGGCTCCTGCCACCCCCTCCTCAAGATATTCAGCCAGAATTGAGCTCCAAGCCAGGGAAGCAAATCTTAAAAACAAACCAAGCACGCTGACACAGACCTAGAAAAATGACGAGTCTGAGATACAGCTTCCCGGGAGGGCGGAGAGCAGCTCCAGCCCCTGGCCAGGCCAGCCCAGGCAGGCGTGGGTGGATCCCACAGGGCTCTGGGCTAGACCAGCTCCACAGTGCCCCACTATGACGCCAGTCCTGCAGGCTTGGCCTTGTCACCCATTGAGAGGCTGTGCTGATGGTTCCCAGCCACACACCAGTCCTCCTGGGGAATCTATTTCTTTCGTTCTTTTGGCCTCGGAGAGGTCCAAGGCAAGTCCATTTCTTAAAAGGTAATAAAATGCATTATTGGAAATTTGGACAGTCAGGCCATGACTCCTAGCCCACAGCGTGCCCCATCTCCCGGCAGCCCCTTCAGCCCCTTGCCCCCTGTTGTCCCCTGTTGCCCCAACCTCAGGGTTCCCTCTTGCATATTCATGAGGGAACCACAGTGCTGATGTGCACTTCCCCACTGTCAGCTGGGCTGCACCTCATGTGGCGCCAGGTCCTGAGGGGCCGCTGCAGAGGCCAGGCCGTGAGCCCCTTGATGCCTGCTCCCCTGATGAGGCAGCAGCTTCTCTGAAATGAGCTGCCGGCGAGGAGCAGGCAGGCACCAGTCTGTCCTTCCTTTTCTGCTAATTCCTCAGCACTGAGGCTCCATTCTTGGGCACCCCAGAATTGAAGGGGACCTCAGAATCATGCCCCTGCCATTCTAGAGTTTCAATCCAAGGAGTCCCCTTTAGCTTGTCTCCAAGACGGGTAAACGTAGCCACCATTCAGCAAGTCCAGAAATTCTTCTTCCCACATCTTAGACCCCTGAGCAACCCAAGGATAAAATGCAGCTGCTTACCTGTTAATATCTACTGAGGGACAATCAGGGAAGCCTCAAAGGAGTCGTCTCAGGTAGGGTACTTGGCCTGTGGCAGGACAGACAGAGGCAGGACCCCACTCGCCTGTCAGCTTCAGGTGGCTAAAGGGGGCCCAGGGTGGGGGTGACTTGACAGTCATGTACCCCCTCCCCGATCCCTGGCAGGAGGAGGCCATGCCAGCCTCACCTGCTCTGACCCAGCCCCCAGCCCCCTGTGGCTATGGCCACTGGTCACCCTTGTCCCCAAAATCACCATGCCTGTGGCCATGTCCCTCATCTTCTCCAAAAGCATCATTAAGAACAAGTGATTTTGGATGATGGATTTTTGATTTACAAACGGTGCATTTCCCTTGGAGTGGAACAGAAAGGAAACCATTTAATGGCGCCCTTCTTTTCAAGCATGAATACATTTTAATGAAACTATTTTATTGTATTTGAGGAAATGGAGAGTTGAACATTCCAACCAATCAATAGCCAATTAATTGTTATAAAGCTAAAAAGAAAATAAATAAATCCTGAGTCTATTTTAAACACTCTGCAAAAAGCTCAGGCCTCAGAATCTGGCCTTCCCCTCCTAATATGCATGAGCACGTACACACACACACTCTCACACTCACACACACACACTCACACACACACACACTCCCCTACACATCAGACATACTTGAAACTCAGAAACAGCACTGAGTCTCCCCATGCCGATTCTTGCCCGCTCTCCTTGACTTTGGTCAGAGAAGGTGAGCAGACCTGGCAGCAGCCTGTCCCAGGGCTTGGGAAGAGGCAGGCCCATCCCCTGGCCCCAAGTCCCCAGCATAGCATAGGGTTTTGGGCAGTGAGGGCCTGGCATTGCCTGGGCCTCACTTCTCAGCCCCAGCTCCTGGGCCTCCAGGGTTGGGCTGAGGGTGGAGTTTTGGCTCTGGGTTTGCCCTGACTCCTGCTGGAAGATGCTGCCCTGGTTTTTCACCCTCTAGTGGCCTTGGACATTGAGTATTTTTAGAAATGCAGATTACATTGCAAATGGAACCCTTTGCCAGGAAGACACATGGATTTTGCTTTTGATTCTTTGAGACATTTGACTTTGTCTTAGGGACCGACCTTTCAGCATCAAAGAAATACATATCTACTGTATCCGCCAAAGTTTGTGATGCCTGCATAGATGCTTACTTGTAAAAAAAAAAAAAAAAAAAAAAAAAAAAAAGTACAAAAAAAACAACAACAAAAACCACAATTGAATTGCCTTTGAAAGTGGGAGATGATCTGTCTCCAACAGATTGAAAAAAAAAATGCTTCTTAAAAAATGTGTATGTTTTGTATTCTTTTTTTCTAGTAGAAAATAACTGACTTGAAATATTGGTGGTTTTTTTTCTTAGTGACGTGTGTTGCTTTTGTGTGTAATAATTGAATGTAATTACAGCAGTGCCAATTTGCCAAAGATGTTGGACATATTTTTCTTTTTTGGGGGAGGAGGGCAGGGCTAGGGGTGGGATTTGGGAGAACACAGGGGTGGGGTTTTGGTTTAATTTTTTTCACTTTTTTTTCCTTGTCAAAACTGAAATTTGTGGCTTCCTTTTAAGTTAAATGGTTGACTGCAACACTTTTATTTTAGATTAGTTGAAGAAACATGCAATAAGGTTGGCGTAGTTTCAATATCTGTGTGTCTTTTCATGAGTGGCTGTTACTTGTGAAGAATTGATTTTATGTAACCTTTATGTGAGATAATTATTTGTAAATATTTGCCATAATTTTATTGGTTCCTAAAATAAAAGTAATTTTTTAAGTTCAGAAAAAGAATTTGATCCCATTTGTTTTTACTAGTTTGAGGACTGCCTTTGACAACTTTGACTGTACCGCAGCGGGTTGTGGGGCGTTTGATGGCTCTCCCGCTTACATCGGGGTCAAAACAAATCTGTGCATGCAGAATGACGTGTTGCAGAATCGGGCTCTGCCCTGGGCAGGGAGCAGCAGCCGCAGAGTCTGCCCTTGAGATGTGCCCAGGCTTGGCAGGTGGAGTCGTGGGTGAATCTCCACTCTGGATTTGACTCCAAACTGTGATTTAATGTCAACTTCTTCAGTTCCCAATGGTCAGTAATTCCCACCTCGTTGATTCATTCATTCAGGGCACACTGATTGAGCATCTACTCTGTCCCCAGCACTGGGGACACAGAAGTGAACAGGGCCAACAAGGACTCTGCTGCCAGTGGTACAGTCATAGCTCACCTTGCACTCCTGGGTTCAAGCGACCCTCTTGCCCCAGCCTCTCAAGTAGCTAGGACTACAGGTGTTCATCACCAAGCCCAGCTAGTTTTTTAAATAATTTTTTTCCCTACTTGCAAATTAACATATTATCAGCTAATTTTTTTTGAAAAGGAGTCTTGCTCTGTCACTAGGCTGGAGTGCAGTGGCTCGATCTCGGCTCACTGCAACCTCTGCCTCCTGAGTTCAAGCAATTCTTCTGCCTCAGCCTCCCGAGCAGGTGGGACTACAGGTCCACGCCACTATGCCCAGCTAATTTTTGTATTTTTAGTAGAGACAGGGTTTCATCATATTGGCCAGGCTGGTCTCGATCTGCCTACCTTGACCTCATGATCTGCCCGGCTTAACCTCCCAAAGTGCTGGGATTACAGGCGTGAGCCCCCATGCCCGACCCAGCTAATTTTTTAAAACTTGGGTTTTGCTATGTTGTCTGGGCTGATTTCGAATTCCTGGCTTTAAGCATTCCTCCTGCCTCAGCACCCGCAAAGTGCTGGGATTACAGGCATGAGCCACAGCCCCCATCCTATATGTGCTTTTCACTTTGATCCAGTTGAGTCTCCTGAAACCTAAAATGCCTGAGTGCAGACAGAACTCAGAAGTCATTCACACCAGGAGACCTTGCCTTTGGGCCCCAAGGCCATAGGCCATATCCAATCAAAGCTCAGAGAGCAAGAATCCACAATCCTTCCGTCCTGTCCTTAAGCCTTTGAAACTGAGCATTTCGGGAGCATAGGAGCCCAGAGGTGGCTTTTCATCAGGGGGTAGGGCAGCTGCAGACCTGAGCCCTGCCCCTGCCGGGCGATGTCAGTGCGCAAGGGCAGGCAGGGACCACTGCGCCCGTTGGCACAGTGTGTGCGACTCAGTAATTGCCAGAGATGGAGTGGGCGAGTGACCGCGTGGGGGCCGTGGACAGCAACTCATTCATATTTAATAAAGCAGCGGCACGGCCTCCATTCATTTCTGCAATGGATGGTGGTGAAAGTGATTCCTGAGGGAGTGAGAATGAGCCATGGCAGAGTGCTGGCCTGGCGCCTTCCTTCTCTGTGCTCCTGACTTAGAGCGCAGACTTCAAAGAGAAGTAGGTGTGTTTTTTAACTGAAATCGGACCCCAAACCTATGAGCACTGGCGAGGCAGGCCAGGAGCTCCATTTCCTAACACTGTGGCTCTTGTCCCCGGCTTTCTGGGGACAGAAGCCTCAGGCCTGCCTTCCCCAGAAACGGGGCACGAGTCTCTGCAGCAAGCAGGGCATGTGCAGCCCCACATGACAGCAGAGGGGAGGCTGTGGGCCAGGCCTCCAGGTATGGAGGTGGAAGTGCCAGCCCTGAAGGGCTCAGGCAGCCTCCAGCAGCCCCTCTGCACTCAGGGACAAGCAGGAGCAGAGAGAGAAACCTGAGATCTGCCTGGGAGGTGTTCCTCAAACCCCTCCCCCACACCAGAGCCAGGCCCCTTGCTGGGTGCTGGGGACCGAAGTCTTCCTAGGGGAGTGAGACTGCTACAGGGCAGAAAGATAAAGCCCGAAAGCCATGGCCGGGAGTCTCAGCTCCAGCTTTTGGTGGTCAGTTTGCTGATGCAAGCAGTTTCTTAACTTCTAGAAGCCTTGCTTTCTTCATCTGTGTAGTGGGTGTAAACCTGATAACATTTACCTCAAGGGTGTTATGAGAAACAAATGTCATGCATTGTGTGAAAGCTTTTCCAAATGACAAATGGGAGTTTTGCCAGGATGTCTTCTCCACTATAAAGAAATCAAAATTTTATGCCCCAAGGTCAAACTTTAGTCAGAATCTCCTCCGTGCTAGGTGCAGAAGGAGGGTAGAATGCAGAAATGAACCAACCAGGAGCCTGCTCTCTGGGGGCAGGTGATGTGTGTATTTGAATTCCAGGCCTTATATGGTCAGTATCACCTACAGTTGGAGCAGACAGGGAGGTGTGGTCTCAGAGGAGGGATTCCATTCAGTTGTGGGAGGGGTGGTCAGAGAAACCTTCCTGGAAGAGATGACTTTTGACCTGAGCTGTGAAGGGTGGGCAGAATTTCAATAGGAAATTTTAGAAAGGGAAGGAAGGGAAGGCATTCTAGGCACAGGTAACAGTGTAAACAAAGCCCCAGGGCGGGAAATTGGGTGTGATGGCAGGAGACGCTGAACCACTTGCTCCTGAGTTAAGCAGGCACGTGGCCTTTTCCCCAAGCCTACCTCCTGAGGATCTGTAGGTGCCACCAGGTCAAAGGTAAGGGGTAGCCTGTGTTCTGGATCAAAGGTGAGGGCTAGCCTGGGCTCATGTCATTTCCTAGCAATGGGGTTGCCCAGGAGGAGAGGAGGTGGCAAACGCAAACAGGGGGTGACCATCTTCCTTAGGAGGCAGCGAAGGGGAGCATGTTTCAGATGCGGGTGGGAGCAGGTAGATTTCCAGCCCCGAAGATCCAATAGCTGTGGAGCCTCCTGGCCAGCTGTGTGGTGATGTGGAGAAGGGGACCCTTCTGGCCAACTGAGCGCTGCTGTGGTCCCCTCAGCACGCTGCCTCAATAGCTGTCTCTGGGAGGGATGCCTGCCTGCAAAACCCCGATGGAGGAGGCCGTCACTGGGAGGCCTGCTCTGCAGGAGATACAGCTGCTATGATTTTAGACAACTGGGGCCATTAGCACCCCAGGTGATCTTAGTGATTTATTTTACTTATATACATGCCCTGGTTTTTCTTCAGTGGACATGCATTACACACAATTTGAAGATAATTTTAAAAAATTGTCATTGCTCTCTTTGTTTGGTCTTCCCGGGATACGGTGATGGGGGCCTCTGCAAGCTCCACTACAGACCAGCTCTGAGGATATTTAGCAAAGAAGCTGCCTATGTGAGCCTGTCAGGGCTGCATGGCCCAGGGCCACACACTGGGTGGCCAAAACAACAATTTATTTTCTCGAAATTCTGGGGCTAGAAGTCTCAGATGAAGGTGTCAGGCAGGGCTGGTTACTTCTCAGCCTTCTCTCCATGTCCGTGTCCTCACACTCTCTTCCCTCTGGATGCATCTCTGTCCTAATCTCTTCTTACATAGGCATCAGTCACACTGGATTAGGGCCCACCCTGAAGACCTCATTTTAACTTCATTACCTCTCAAAGGCCGAATCTCCAAATACAGTCACATTCTAAGGTACTGAGTGTTAGGACTTCAACACATAAATTTGGGGTGACACAATTTAGTCTATAACACCACTTGAGAAGAAAGAGGCCCCCAGATCCCAAGAGCAATCCCAGCTGGGATCTGCTCTTCACACTTCAACCCCACCTTTGCCTGTGGTATGTCACCTCTACCCAGGGACATCTGCCCCTGTTTGTCCAAGCCAGGGGTTTCTGTCCCTCAGATCTGAACTCCCAAATGTGACCCCCAGGAAGATCCTTACTTCATACCTTCCATCGAAAGAAATTCCTAGTGAAGCCAAGAGTTTCTTTAAAAAAATATAGATAGGCCGGGTGCGGTGGCTCACGCCTGTAATCCTAGCACTTTGGGAGGACGAGGCGGGTGGATCACGAGGTCAAGAGATCAAGACCATCCTGACCAACATGGTGAAACCCCGTCTCTACTAAAAATACAAAAAGATTAGCTGGGCATGGTGGCGCATGCCTGTAATCCCAGCTACTCAGGAGGCTGAGGCAGGAGAATTGCCTGAACCCAGGAGGCAGAGGTTGCAGTGAGCCGAGATCGCGCCATTGCACTCCAGCCTGGGTAACAAGAGCGAAACTCCATCTCAAAAAAAAGTATATAGATAGATAGATAGATAACAAGAGCGAAACTCCATCTCAAAAAAATATATATATATATAGATAGATAGATAGATAGATAGATAGATAGATAAAATGAATGCGGTTATAGATGAATGTATTTCAGACTTCTATATGAAATATGACTTTATACACTTAAAAAGATGGAAAAGTCTCAAAAGACAAGATTGAAATATTTGATCATGTGATTTGCTTTGTTGTTGTTGTTGTTTTATGTATCTAAAAACGTTTAACAAAATACAAAGAAAAAGAAGTTGGAAAATCCAAGAAATGGGAA